CCTTAAATGATGAAGCAAGAATTGCTCCACCATCTTCTTGCTTCCTGTTGCCTGACTGACTGTCTTTAATATGAGGGCATGGCTCAGCCAACTGCCTTCCCCCAATTCAGCCACAGTTGAGATCAGGGAAATTGCACCATGAGAATCTTTTTTTTTAAATCCCACAGTTAACTGATGCCATTGCAGTCCCAAAGTCCCGGGGTGTTAGAGTTCCTGGGAGTGGCCCTGGGACTATAAACAGTAATGTGGTGGGTAGAGTGCATGCTGGATTTGGAGCCTAGATGACCGGGTCTTAGCTTTAGTTGCTCAGCTCTCCCACTGTACGATCTTGGCAAAGTCACTTAACCTGTTCCGTCAACTGTCAAACCGAGATAAGGGTTCCTTCCTTGCCTCCTTCCCTGCAGCCACAGTGAGAGGAAACCCTTTGTGAATGCAGAATGGAGGCTGTCGGGGCAGCGCAGATGAGGACCCGAGCTTTGGCAGCAAAGAAACTTGGGGACAAAGCCTGGCTATGGCACTTACGAGCTCTGTGACTCTGGGCAAGTCCTCAGCCTCTGAGAGCCTTGCAAGGTTTCCTCTTGCAAGATATGTAGTAGATGATAGCAGTGCCTACTTCAGAGAATCATGGTGCGGAGTAAACGAAATAATGTACATAAAATGCTCAGCACAGCTCCTGGTACATAATAGAGGCTGAGTCGACATCATCTCTTTATTTTTAGGCTAAATATGTACAAGGAGTCACAGGAATGTCCCATATAAAGTCATAATAGCATCACCTGCAATATACACCTAATTAAACAGGGATTGACATAAAGTTATGTGGTATTTGATACTTAGGACCCAGTAAGAACCCAGAGCCTGGGACTTTGGAAGATCTCTGAAATGGGGTCATTGTCTACGATCATCAGAAAGCCCAGGAGTAAGGACTTGCAATTGCGATACATGAATGAGATCCACAGGACAAAGTGGTAGAACCAGCAGTTCAGAGAATTGTCCTGATCTAATCTCAGATCACCTTCTGGGATCGCCACCTTCCCAGAGACTGGTGGGCTTGACCCTGAAGGGAATTGCTACGAGTCAGGTCCCGTGCTAGGCTTTGATGACACTGACCTAGGTCCTCCTGTCATGAGCCTTACAGTTTTGGGGGGCACTGCCAAACAGGTACAGATATTCTGAAGTTAGAAAGGGTTGAAATGCACCAGCCACAGGAGTGGAAGGTGATGCCTCCCAAAATGGAGCCCATGGAATTTGGAATTCTTTCAAGCACGCCTCCTCAGATGAGCTGTTACCTGGACCAGAATTTCCTCCTAGAGAGTAACTCAGCCTGGTTGCACACCAGGTCAGAAAGAAGTGCTTAATGTTTTAAGTGGAAATCTGAGGTGTGACAGGATGACACATGTATCACACGCTGTCGATTTGTTCATTTCTCGGAACTGACATTCACAGTGAAACTTTCTTAAATTAATCTTAATTGTAGACACTATCTACCAGAGCCTGCGAGATCGTGCCTTTACTGCAGCTATAAGAATGGAAGATTTCAAGTTCTTTGAAATGAAGATTAGTACCTGGAGACTCCAAATTAAACTCGTTTAGAAGTAATTCAAGTCAAAAATCTCACTTTAGAAAGTTGGAGAATCAGCATTTCTATACAATCAAGCCTCTTAAAAAATGATTTCTGGTTTTACCTCAAGAGATAAAGACCCATCGAGTCTCCTTGAGTCATGAAGTCTTAGTTTTGATTCTGTTCTCTTGGGCCAGCGGTCCTCCCAGGAGGTTCTTGGGGGTCAGGGTTTCTGAATATGGGGGACTGGTGAGGTGTGGAGTGGCCCAGTCAGAGAGTGGGAGAAGCCAACAGAGAGAGGGGAGAGCCCGAGGGGAGAGAGGCTGCGACTTCTGGAAGTTGAGCCGAACTCCCAACTCCGAGCTTTGTAGCCAGATCAGAGAGGGGTTTTGCCAGGCAAAGCCAGGACAACAGCCTGGCGCAGAGGAATCTTCCACCTTAGCTGAGGTACCCCAGGGAGTGGAATGGGAGGACAGCAACCCGACCCAAAGGACTGGACTGCTGAGCTGCCGGTAGGACAGCCCCAGTTGGCTCTGATTTTGTACTTTCTATTGCTACTGCCCTCCCTGCAACCTGCTTTCCATTTCCTCCCGCTTGCGTGCTGGAGGAAGCTTGGCTCGGAGGCACATCTGAAGGTCCACCAAAGAGCTCGGGTCTAAGGCTCTGGAGCCCCATCAGAGCCCGAGATGGTCAGGAGGAGGAGGAAGAGAGAAGGCAGGAGAGGCTGCTCCCCTGCCTGGGAGCTGAGGCTGACACTGAGCGCTGAGTGCTGGGCCTGGGCAGGCTGGCCGGCCCCTTTGATGCTGCCTCTCTCAGCGTCCCCCTGTTCCAGGAGGGTGGCTGGGAGTGCCAGTCCCTTCTGCCCAGCCCAGCCTTCCCTCCTGGTTTTGCTCTTGGGAAGAGAAAGCAGCAGGCGCCACTTGTCTCTTCTCTCCTTCCCGCAGGCGCTTCTGTTCCGAGGGCTGCCTCTCGCTGGCTCCTTCTGCTTCTGCTTGGTCCTCCCGCTGATTGGGAAGAAAGTGCACCAGTGGGGTGATGGGGGTCTGGGATTCTTAAAGGAGCAGCTTCATTTCTGTTGGAAATTTATTTACCCAGCACAGTATTATTATTATTATTTTTTTGTCTTTCCACACAGTCAATATAATGTGGTGAGAAAAGTGAATACAAAGTGACCATAATCACCACATTTAAATGTTAATTGTGGACATTCTGGTTTTCCTCTAAGGATTTTCTAGCAGATCAAGCACTAGCCCTGGCAGCAATCATTATTAGCAATCAAATCCAATTTGAGAATCATTTACTGAGGGCACAAAGGTTGGGGGCCACAAATCGGAGCAGGGCGGTCCCTGCCACCTCAAGGGCTCATGGGCGAGGGCTGAAGACTGGAACGCCCACCAATCAACAAGCCACAGAGATCATTTGAAAATCCCCTGCACCACTTTTGCCAATAGCTCTTCTGCGGTGGAGGCTTTGACCATAGGAGTTTACAAGAAGCCAAACTGATAAGGCAATTGGAAATGCAGTCTTCCCTTGGCTGCTCTGTTGGTTGATTTGCAGTGAACCAGTATTTGTTAAGAACTTGGTTTTATGTAAAATAAATAAACATTAGAGCAAAGCCTCACTGGGTGCTAGAGGAGCCATATCTTAGCCCCTTGTTTCAGTATGGTAGGGATGTGCTCTTTTCTCATACAAAGATTGCAGAAGAGGTGAAACTCTGGGACCCTTCAAGTTCAGAATCGGAAGGCAGCCACTTCTTGAAGCTGTAGCACCTTCTACTTCATTTAGTCGCAAATGGGCTTCCCTGATTCTAGGTTCCTGTCTAGTTTCCCCTCGAGGAGAAATGTGACACCTTGAGCAAAGTACCCAGTCTCAGTGCCTCCGTTTCTCCTGGAAAGAAAAAAAAAGAAAAAAAAAAAAAAAAGGAAAGCAGAGCTATTTGGACGATTTTGAGAATATGAGATAGTATTAGAGAACAGGAAGGAGAATGGCCAGAGTGGCAAGAGCCAGATGGCAGCTGGATCAAGTCTCTCTTTTTAGGGATGAAGAAAATGAGCCTCGGGGAAGAGACTTTGCTCAGAGTCACACAGATAGGATCAGAACAGGCAACCTGCTCTGTCAAAGCTCAGTCTACTGCTCTTCCTAAGAGTCCTAGCCTTAGGATTTCAATAATGTGCCAATACGATCCCCTCTGTATAATAACCTGAAGAAGGCGAGCGAGATGTCTGGGACTCCAGAGTGCAACTGCTCCTGAAATGCCAAAACCGGGTCCCGCCCCTTCTGACACCCCTTCTCTCTTCGCAGGCCAGGAAGCCTTCCCTGAGGGCATTGGCTAAAGGGATGCACCCTGTCCTGGAGCAGCACTGGAGGCTGAAGGGAAGGATGAAGCTGCACGTGGAGAGAGCAGATTCTCCCGCCAGAAGGGAGACAGGCAGCCGGTGGGTGGGCCAGTGGGCACGTACCCCGCGGCTTTCCCATTTTCCGGAGGAGGAAAGAGCAGAAGTCGTTGGCCCCAGGCACGTGGCGGCTGTGCGGGGAAGGTGATAGTGCAGCCGACTTTCCCAGCGTCCTAATCCCGAACCCATAGTTCACACAGGGACAGCCGCCACTGCCTCGTCTCGCAGCCCACGGAATCCGGGGCCCGGAGGTCGCGGACCTACTAGGTGCGCGCCGCGCCCCGCAGCCGTGGGGCACGGCACTGCGGCATGCCTGGCGGGCCTGGGTGCGGGCACGCGGTGCCGCGGGGACGGTGAAGGTGACCGCCTTCTCCTTCCCGGCCCCGCGTGCTCTGCACTGCGGGCTCGAGGGATGCTCGGGCCCGCCAAAGTTTGCTCCAGTGCTCGGGAGCCGGAGGAGAGTCCCTGGGCAGTGCGGGGTCGACCCCGATCCCCGCAGCAGTTAGTGCGCTCTTTCCTGGTTCCAAGGAGTAACTCCCCTGGTGGGAGTGGGCGGGGGTTCCGAGGGGGGGTCCCCTTCTCGGAGCCTGGGTCCGAGCCCCCCGCCCGCATCCCTGCAGCTGCCCCTCGGGCTCGGGTCCCTGTCCCCGGCTCAGCGGCCGCTCCCACCAGCTGATTTTGACAGAGGGGGGTCCCGAGCGGCGCAGGCGGGCGCAGCGAGCCCCTGCCAGATCCGGGGCCGATAACGTGCAGGCTCCATGTCGCGGCTTCGGGCTGCCCAGGCTCCGCCCCCTGTGAGTGTGTAAGTGTGTGATGCTGCCGCGGCCGCCGCCGCCGCCGCCGCCGCCGCCGCCTGTGCAGCCGCCGCCGCCGCTGCCGCCTCGGCTGCCGCGCCGCGCCGCTGCCGCCGCCGCTGCCGCCCCGGCCGCCCCCCCCGGCCGCCGCCGCCGCCGCCGCCGCCGGCCCGCAGCCCGCCAGGCGGGCGGCCCCGCCGGCCCGAGCCCCCAGCGCCTGCCGCCGCAGCGTCGGGGCGCTGGGCGCGCGGGCAGCCGCGGAGCGAGCGGACCCGAGCGGGCGGCCGGGCACTTGCCCGCCCCGTGCCACCGCCGCCGCCGCTCCGGAGCGCAGGACCCGGCAGCCCCGGCGCCCGCCGCCGCCTCCGATGCGGCCTGGGCACTTTTAGCCGGGCGGGAGGGCCGGAAAGCCGGGCCGCCGAGAGCAGTGAGCCAGCCGCGCCGAGAGCCGCGCCGACCCGCGGGGAGCAGGGACGGACGCCCGCCCGCCGCCGCCGCCGCCGCCGCCGCCCGGCCGCTATGGATCTATTCGACTTTTTCAGGGACTGGGACTTGGAGCAGCAGTGGTAGGTGTTGAATTTTGCCTTCTCCTTGCTACGCAGGTCCCCCGGCTGGGGCTGGGCTTTTCGCCTTTGTTAGGGGAAGCCGGGGCTGTGGTGGGGGCGCCCCAGACGCCCTCCCACTTGATCTCAGCCACCTCTGGCCCCGCCGCCGCGACTCCGCGGTCGGGTGCCCCGGTGGGTGGGGGGGTGGGGGGAGAGGTGCGGGCAGAGGGTGGGATGAGGGTTCCGAACGCGTCGCTTGGCGCTCCAAGTCCAAAGAGTTGCCTTTGGCCCGTATCGGAGCCCGTGCCGCCTGCGGGCTGAGCCGCACGACCTCCGCGGGGATTTTCTGTGCGCACCGCCGGCCCGGCCGGTCTCCCCGCGCACCGGATCCTGCCCGCCCCAAATGCTTCAACTTTCCAGGTGTCCAGCGCCGGCCGCCGGCCGCGGGGTCAGGCGGCGGCAAGGTGCCGCCGGCCTCCGCTTCCTCTGCGGCCACCTTCCCCGCCGCCGCCACCTCCTTAACCCGCGCCGCGCGCACACCTTCCCTTCCACTCGCTCAGCCCAAGTTCCCCGCTCTCGGGCGCCTGGTGGCTTCGGGGGCCACCAAGCGGGGGCCTCGGGTCCGGGCCGACTTCGGCGTTGGCTTTCAAGACTGAGGGTTTTTGAAGTTGGCCCCCCGAAGTCGGCTGCTCCAACGTCTATGCACATTTAATTACCGGCTGGACCCCTGTCCGCCCCCGCTGGGAGGCAGCCGCAGGTTTGTGTAATGGGCACCCAGCTCGGATTCAAAGGTTTAGTCAGCTTTTCCCAAAATACCTAAACTTGTCGCTGAGAGCGTTTTGAAAGATGGTGCAAAGGTGACCGGGGAGCCTGAAAGTTGTTACTCACTGCACGCTGTGCGCGCGCGTGTGCATAAATAGTGATATACATATCTATTAACTTTTTTTAAAAACTCCATCTTCTGCCACAGGCGTTATTATTGTTAATCCGTCACAACATTTTAACATATCAATTGCCCTCCCCCCCACCCCCAGCCCGTGGAATGAGACCGGGGGAGGATGCGGCTGCAGCGATTTAGAATTGCATCCTTGGTTATTGCCTTTTTAAATGTAGTTAGGATAATCTACAATACCTACCGATTGTGCGAAATCTTCTGCAATGTTAAACTGCTAGCAGCCGTTGGCTATGAATACTGTGTATTTTTACAAGGATTTCCCTTGCTGATGGGATATTTTAGGCAATTTCCTTCTTTAGAAAAGGGTCATACTCTTAGCCAATAGCTTCATTATGCCAATCGTGACTCTTCTAGTTGCAAATCCAAGATAATCAGAACTTAAATACATTTTATTTTACGGCCACAAATTACACTGTATCAGTATTAATCTGCAAGGCATTTTTGATACCATGCAGGGTTTTGTCAGCCCTGCAGAGAAACATTATGTTACAATTTTTAATAACCATGATGTTATTTAAAAGTAAAGATCACAATAAAATTACTCCTCAATTAGATATTATGCTCCTGCACACAGCCTTTACTCTGCTTCAGTAATTTATTTTGCAGACAACTGATAACCACAGCATTACTATTTGCATACAATTTGCCTAATATATGGTGTGGGTAACATCATTAATTTAACAGACGTTATAATTGATTTTGTGGGTATGGTTCAAATGTTAAACGTATCTGAGGTACTGGGTTTTAAAAAATGTGTTTATTATATTAACTTTAGTTTAATCTTAGAAACATGCAGTTGTATATTTAAAGGGGATTGGTTCTTTTGATTTCTTTTTTCAGAAAGACAGGTTCTCCCCGCCCCCCATTTGGGGACTATTTTTTCTTTTCTTAAGGAAAATCCAAAACCTTTTTTCCTCCAGTTCTGTAACTACGCCACATCAGTTAAGAAACATGCAGACTTGGACACTCTGCGGATATGATGTGAAATATGGATGAATTAATGTAATACATCTGCATAAATAAGCTGGCCTTTTCCTTCTGTGCACATGTTCCAGGAAAATTTCTCCTTCTTACTGTGCGATTGTGAGGGGCAAACTTTCTTATGAATCTGTGTGTAAACATTTGTAATGAGGTCTGTGCATCTGTTTTGACCGCCCCCTCCAGAAAAAACAGGGAACATAAATGTGACAATAGTGGATGAACTAAAAAGCTTGATTGTGCCTTGAATGGAAATCTACCTTTCCAAACTCTGTGGCCATCTAGAGCATGTCAATTACATGTTCATTACATGTTCACTTCCCTTCCTGGGGAGTAAGTAGCTGCTTAGAGTGCTGGCATCCATTCCCCGCCCAGCCAGGAGGTCCAAGGAGGAAAAAGGCGCCAGCCAAGTTAAGGGTCTCACTTACATTGGATCTTTTCTCAACATTCACTTATGGAACAGAAAACTCTGAGCTTTGTGTACCGCAACCCTAGATGTCTGACAACAAATGGATCAGGCCAGCTAAAAAACCAACTCGTTTACCTAGACTTAATGAAGGAAGACTTTACATACACGGGCATATGTGTTATTTGCAAACACTCGACTACAGTAAACAAAAAGTCCATGCCCATTTATAAACACACATTTGTCAGGATGAATGCAAATGGGAAGGATGGGGCATGAATGACGCTGCAACGTGCTTCCGTGCTGGGTCTGGGAGCGCTCAATGCCTAAAGGAACATACCCCTGGATTTCACGCACTGCACAAGTATCCTAATGGGTCATGCTCTGGACTCGATGAAAGGGCCAAAGCACAAGTTCTTTAAGATTCTTGGATGAAGGAGCAATGTTCTCCTGAGTATAAATTTAATATGAACCATTCTGTGAAAGAAGAGGAAGGTGCAGATGTCTGTGTGCACCAAAGACACCATTGCTCTTGAAAGAAAATGAAAGAAAGATAAAGAACAAAAATGATATGTGATTGTTTAAATCATTCTATAGATTTGCCTGTGGTAAGCCAGTAAATGAATTCTTGAGGTATCTGGAAATCCTGCGGCGAGATTTAGGCTTGTTTACCACCAATGGGGATGTCATTGATCCCCATTTAAGAGGGTATAAAAGCAAAATCAGAGGGCCTACCAAGTGTCAGTCCTATGAGCAAATACCTCCCCCCCCCTTATTGATTAGGTATCACTTTGTGACAGGCCAAGGTCCTTTGTGGGGATGCTTGTCTTCCTTTCATTATTAAAAAAAAAAATAGCAAGAAAGAAGGACAGGCAGCTACAGAAAGGGACACATCCTTAAACATCAAAAATGAAAAGCAAACCACCATGACAGCAAAATCAAACTGCGCAAAAGTCTAGTGAAGATGGTGGCGAAGCAGTGGTGACGGTCGCTGACTCCTCACTGCGAAGCCCCAAGCCCGGCAGCGATCGTTTGTAGTTTCTAAGTTATGTCTCACAAGTAGCCTCATTAGAGGCGAGCTTGCACACGGGCAGTTCTACAGGAAGAGACTTAAACTCACTAAACTGTTATATAAATAGAAAGTTCAAAGGTCTGCTTGGGGCTGTCAAGGCTGGGAAGGGGCCATGTGCAGGCCAGGCTTCTTCTCCTTGTGGGGGGGCGGCAGGGGGAAGGCAGCCCCCGGGGGCCTGCCCCAGCAGCCCCTGCTTTCCCCAGTTTGTCTTGAGCGTGCGGGGGAGGGGGAGACCCTGCTTCTCCAGACAAAAGTGAACTGTTTCAGACGCAGCCGGGCATGGCCCATGCACTGCAGCAGCCTGGCCTCTGGCGAGGCCTTTGTAAGCTGCAGTCCTGCGCAAGAGTGGCCCAGACCTGGTTATGGATGGGACGGTGTTGGGGGTGGGGGGAGAGAGATCACGTGTGCCAGCCTTGGGGTAGGTAGGGTAGCAGGAACGCGGAGGCAGCAGGGCAGGTTCCTGTTTTGACTAAGGCCTACAGGTTGCCAGGATTTCTCATTCTCTACCTGCATCCATTTCTCTTTCCCCCTGCCCTCCATTCATTCAGCGAACCTTGTGGGGTTGAGTCTCTTAAGGGAGTGTCTGGGGAGGCTAGACCGGAGGCGGTGAAATTAGCTAGTGTGATAAGATCTCTACAATTCCCCCACCCGCCCCCTTGCAACCCCCCCCCAAGAATAAAAGCTATCTCTGTAAATCTTAAAAAGGCACATCTATTGGACAAGAAAGAAAATGATCTCATGTTAGAAATCAGTTTAATGATACATGAATTGTTTTGCTAATGATTCAGTCAAGCATTTAACAACTTTAAAATATACAAATCAAGATTGAAAATGACTGCCTCAAAAATGAATCTGTCATTATAGACATAAACGAGATTCCAAACATTTAAGCATTTTGTAGATGGATAAAAATTATATTGTATTTAAACATGCTAATTATTGTCGAATAGAAATGCTTTAATGTGCTGAACCTTTATTTCATGCCCATTATTCTTAGCTAAGACTATTTCTTGCATGCAGAATTTGTACACATTTAACATAATTTCAGGATCATAAAGGTCCAATGAAATGGCCATCTCTGGAACCATCTAGAAGCTGTAGCCCGGTGAGCTTGTAGCTCATACCTCAGAAAGTGAAACTGCCACATACTTGATTAGCCTGTCATGTAGACAAAACAATTGGTCCAGTGACAATATTTTTCACTTTTAATTTTGTCTTTCTTTTTCTGATTGTTGTGGGATAAAGAAAGAGAGATTTTAAGAACTTGTTTACTGATAATGGGCAGGAACGTGTTGCTGATTAAAGAACTTGAGACCACAATTTGAGAAAACCTTTTGAACAGTGTGTGTGTGTGTGTGTGTGTGTGTATGTTTCACCTGTGTATTCTAGAATGCATCACCACCATTGCTACTATTATTTGAGTATTTACTCTGTGCCCCAGGCATCACCGAGTGCTTTAAATAGTCAAGCTCACTTTATCCTTCAGACGTACTTTATGAGACAGGACCTGTTAGGCTCTCTATTTTACAGATGAAGTAATGGAATCACTAGCATTGGAGTTGACCTTAGAGCCCACACCATTGACAACTGACATTCTGTTGGAGCCTTTT